TTTTTTTTTTTTTTTTTTTTTTTTTTTTTTTTTTTTTTTTTTTTTTTTTTTTTTTTTTTTTTTTTTTTTTTTTTTTTTTTTTTTTTTTTTTTTTTTTTTTTTTTTTGTAACAATCTAGACTGACTGCAGATATTGTAAGATTTTGATTTCGAGTTTAGAGTTCATGTTCAAGTGCGTTAGAAACATTTTTACTCGAGTAAAATTTTTAATATTTTCCTCGTCGAAATTTAGAAAACTTTTACTTATTTAAAATAAATATTTAAATTATATAAAAAAATAAATAAATAAAACCTTAATTTTTTTATTTTTAAATAGAAAATTTTTTGATTTGTCTCAGTATTTAAAATTACTCTAAATTTTGATTTTTTGCGGAAAATATTAAAAACCTTATTTCAGATAATTATAATAATTTATTTTTTGGAAAATTAAAATATTAAACACTGTAAATTGACATTTTAAATTAAGTTGTCATTGTACAAATTTGAATGGTTCAAATACTTTCCCTTGATTTCATGCAATGTTATTTTTTCCCACAACAAAATAAATAAATAAATAAATATATATATATATATATATATCATTTTTATTTCCATAAATAAAAACTAAAAATATTTTTAAATATTAAAGAGAATAGAAAATAAAATATTACCAGAAAAAACATTTCTATTTTACTTTAAAAATATATAAAATAAAATAAAATAAAAACAGATTAGTCTTACACAGCTTAATTTCATACCATGTCTTGTCGTATACATTAATTTTATAATTATATACTTAGTCTAATATAAATTAAAATAATTATATTAAGACTATTTCAAAATTAATTTAATTAATTTTTTTAAGGGTAGGTGGGGAAAATTAAAAAATATATATATATTAAATTGCATTTACTTTTTTAACCTAATGAAAAGGCAAATAGAAAGAGACTTTTGGACAAAATAGTAAATTTCATCTATTTTTATAAATATATAAAAATTGTCAACTCTTTTAAGCTTTTTCTTTAAATATATTAGGGAATAATTTCTTTTAAAGCTTTTACTTTATGCCTTAAAATATTAAAGGAAAAAAGTTTGGGTATTTTTTTAATTATTTTTTTATGATAAATTATTTAAAAATTCATAAATTGGCAGACTTTTTTTTATTTATTACTATGATTATTTTAATAATGAAAATGTGTATAGTTTGACATGGTAAATTTTAAAAATATTTTTTTATTATTATTAATATATTGAGATAAAATAAATAAGAATATCTTTCAAGTTATTAGTTTTTAATTAAATCTAATAAAATAATAATAATTTTTAAAGGATATGTTCGTAATTTAAATACTTTTGTGGGTTGTCGTATAACTAAACATGTCATATCTACCTTCAAAATTTGTCGAAAATTTTAAAATAATTTTTTAATATTAATAATGGTATATATATATATATATATATATATCTATATATATATATATTTTTAAAGTAAGTTCGAACTAGAAAAAAATCCCATGCATTAAAAACTATATGATCTTGTCACACTCCTTTATTGGATATAATGAAGCCCACGCGGTCCATAATATTGAATGCATATTAACTTTTCAATAAATATATATATATTTAAAATAGGAGCCGTTTTTATATAACAACCTAAGTCCACTGGATATTGTATGTTTTGCTAGTTACATTTCATCGTTGACTTCATGGTTTTAAAACATGTCTACTAAGGAGAGGTTTCCACACCCTTAATAAGGAATGTTTCGTTTACTCTCCAACCAATGTGAGATCTCACAATTCACCTCATTGGAGGGTCTAGCTTCTTCGCTGGCACATCGTTCAGTGTCTGGCACTGATACCATTTGTAACAACCCATGATCACCACAGATATTATTTGCTTTGGCACATTACATATCACGTCAGTCTCATGATTTTAAAACATATGAACTAGAAAGAGGTTTCCACACCCTTATAAAGAATTTTTCGCTATCGTCTCCAACTAGTTTGGAATCTCAATGATAGTGATGATTGGTTAAACGTATAATCGGTTAGTTTCGATCCATCTTTAAAAAAATTATCTAAGTTTTATTTTAATTCTCGTCGTAATTACGACGAACCGATTATTTTTTTTAGTTTAACTTATATGGTCCCATTTAAAACGTTACATAAACGACAATGCAAACATTAAATAAAATAAAATCTAAGTGAAATACCCAAAATGCCCTTTAAATTTATAATAAGCCAACATACAAATCTAGAATCTGCCACGGTCATAAATCATTAATGCTATAAAAAAATATCAATGATTTTTAGAAATATTAAATGAAAAAAATATATTTAAAAAAAAAAAATTGGAAGTGAAAGCAATGGTCAAAGTCAACTTATAATATTCAAGCAAAATTGAATTAAAAATTATCAAATAAATAAATAGATAATATTAATAAATGTAGGGTTTTGGAGGAATAAGGACGTGGCATTATGGAGTTATTAGGCTGGATTTTAGAGTCTGGGTCAGACCCATGTGGCATTTAAAAAAAAATGGAAATTAAACTGTCGATAATTATGATTGGTCCACGTCAGCTTTTTATTTTTATGAGGGTTAATGTATATTGGTCGGGTTCTCGAGTCCTAAGAACATTTCAAGCGTCCACTAGCACACAACCCAACCTTAAGTAATCTAGATTGGTCGGACAACAACAAATAACAAATATTGTCTGTTTTAGCTTGTTAAGTAACGTCTTTTGCTTCACAGTTTTAAAATTCTGTTATGGAGAGGTTAAGTAACGCCTTAGCTTCACGGTTTTAAAATTCTGTTAGGGAGAGGTTAAGTAACGTCTTAACTTCACGGTTTTAAAATTCTGTTAGGGAGAGGTTTCCACGCCCTTATAATAAATAATTTGTTCCTTTCTCCAAACGAGGCAAGATCTCACAATCCACCTCCTTTGGGGACCCAGCATCTCCTTGACAATATTGTCCGGTGTTTGACTCTAATACTATTTGTAACAATACGATTAACCAATCCATAAAATAAAAAACAATAAATAAGTTGTTTTCTGCTCGAACATACATGTCATATATACCTCTTTTTTCAATCCTCCCCTCGAACAAAGTACATTTTTTACTACACGAAGCTCACAATTCAATCACAGACTTCCACAATGGTATGATATTGAACATAAGCTCTCGTGATTTTGCTTTGGGCTTTCTCCAAAATATCTCGTATCAATGAAGATAATATTCCTCATTTATAAACTCATGATTATTCCCTAAATGAGTCAATGTGAGACTCTGATATTTGAACATTGATGGTAGAAAATATTTAAATAAAATTAATTGCACACAAAATGACGTAAGGAATGACGCAATAAAACATTGTAAAACAAAAATTAATTAAATTAATTTTTTATTATTTAAAAAAATAGAGTGCGGAGACTCATAAATCCCACGATAGAATAAGTCTTCAAAAATGGTTCTCACGTTATCAATCACAATCGAAAGTCTTCCAAAGTGCTTCCACCACATAACTCACTTTCCTAGACTCCATTTTCCACGTCATTTTCATATAAATTTTATATTTTTAAAAAAACTAATTTTATTATTATTATTATTATTATTCTTAAATTTTATATTGATTATAGAATTTCACGAATTTATATGTTTTTTTTTTTTTTTTAATGTGAAAATTATTGGAAATGAAAAAGTTTTAATTTAGTTTAATTAAATTGAGAAAGTTGTCAATATTACCGAAAAAAATTAAATTTAAATTTCAACGATAAGAAAATATTAGTTTGAAAATTTATGGTGACGGGCACTCGAAATGGTGCAGGTGAGCTAGAGTGGGATTAATAGTCGGCCTATGTATCCTTCCCCAGATGAGTTGGGAGATGGGACAGCCCGTGCGTACTTGAAGATGGGCACCCTGGGGCTAATGTGTATAATTAAGTTGGTAAAGGGAACAACCCAACTAGAAATTTGTTAGCCGCGTCACCTTTCGGTCACGAGCTTTTAAGGAATGAAATATTTTGAGGGACAAAAGAGTAAATTTAGTAAATTTTATCACCAAAAGATGAAGGGAAAGAAGACATCCATGGGCCGAGTATTGGGCTTTTGGCCCTACACGGTAGTGGTCAATATAGGATGTGTTGTCTATAGTCGCATGTCGAATGTCTCAATCATGCTTGTCCAAGACATGTTTTCCATAGCCACATGCCAAAATGTCCTCATACCGTCCCTTTTAAATCTCTCCAACTAAGAGCGTTCATATGATCTGAGAACCCGATCAACCCGGAATACTTAACCAAAACCATAAAGGTTGGGTTGAGTCAGATTTCTTTTCCAATTTGAGTTAGGTTGAATTTTAGGAAAACAAAAAATTTGGTCAATTTATAGGTTGACATTTTTTGGTCGAGTAAACCCGACCAACCTGTAAATAGAGTTATAACCCAACTTAATCATACTTTTAAAATTATTATGAGTATTAAAAATATTTTTCGTTTATACTCATGTTGGTAATACAGTGAAAACTTAATATTTGAATTTTATGAAATTTTAGTTATTAATACAATAGAACAAAAAAAACAATCCAACCCAGCTCGAAAATAGAGGTTGAGTTGAGTTGAGTTGTAAACTCTATTCAAGTTACTCGAGCCTCCAACTCAACCAACTTGAAATTTCGAGTTAATCCAAAAGATTTCTCCAACCGAACCTCACCCAACTTGTCATGGTCCTACTTTTTCAACCGCACGGTGTCTGGCTCTAATACCATTTGTAACAGCCCAAGCCCACCACCAGTAAATATTGTTCACTTTGGCTCGTAAACGTGTCTACTAGGGAGAGGTTTTCACACCCTTATAAGGAATGCTTCATTTCACTTTCTGACCAATGTGAGATTTCATAATCCACCCCCTTGGTGGCCCAGCGTTCTCGCTGGCACACCGTCCAATATCTAGCTCTAATACCATTTGTAATAGCCCAAACCCGCCGCCAGCAAATATTGTCTACTTTGGCTCGTTACGTATCGCCGTTAGCCTCACGATTTTAAAACGAGTCTACTAAGGAGAAGTTTCCACACTCTTATAAAGAATGTTTAGTTCCCCTCTCCAACCGATGTGGGATCTCACAATCTACCCCCTTTGGGAGCCCAACATCCTCGCTGGCACACCGTCCAGTGTCCAGCTCTAATACCGTTTGTAACAGCCTAAGCCCGCCGCCAACAAATATTGTCCGCTTTGACATGTTACGTCACAATATTAAAACGCGTCTACTAAGAAGAGGTCTCTACACCCTTATAAGGAATGCTATTCCACTCTCCAACCGATGTGAGATTTCACAATCCACCTCCCTTGAGGGCCCAACGTTTTCGCTGGCACACCGTTCAGTGTCTGGTTCTGATACCATTTGTAACAGCCCAAGCCCGCCGCCAGCAAATATTGTCCACTTTAGCCCGTTATGTATCATTGTCAGCTTCACGGTTCTAAAATACGTATGCTAGGAAGAGGTTTCTACACTCTTACAAGAAATAGTTTGTTCCCTTCTCTAACCGATACAGGATCTCACGAAAGGATTCATACATGTTCCAATACTAACACTGAAAGGATTCTTCAAAACCACCCTTAAACAAACTGTATGGATATGAAGATACACAGAGCTTCAGACAGCAAAGTAAAGAAGGCTAAGCTTTTACTGCATAAAAACACATAAGCCCATCTTACATCCCCAAGTTCACACCTTATCATTGATTACAACAGTAAGTTAAAAGCAAAAATGATATCGACTTTTCGAAACGATGCCCGTTACGTAAGTCGCTAGCATCATTGATCTGCAACTGGGATCAAGGATGAGTACTCATCAGTTTGTCCTGGTCAATCCATTATTTGGTGCCTGTTGAAAAAGAACAGGACAAGAAACATAGATTTCTGCTAAAGGTAAAGTAAGTATGCAACAGAGCTGGTTCTGCTAGAAAAAGCAGGCCAGAAACAAACTAATCCTTCATTTCTTCTTTTGAAAAGCATTCAGGAGTAGCATAATCACCATGTTTCATTATGTTTTTACAGTTTCGGATTGTTTTTCAGAGACCAATTTATACGAGAGATGTAACAGCTCAATCCCAAGCCCACCGCCAGTAGATATTGTCCTTTTTGAGCTTTCCCTTTTGGAGGAGGTTTTCACGCCCTTATAAAGAATGTTTCGTTCTCTTCCTCAACCGATGTGGGATCTCACAATCTACTCCTTCGGGGTTCAGCATCCTCGCTGACACTCGTTCCTTTCTTCAATCAATGTGGGATCTAACAATTTACATTGATTGGAGGGAGGAACGAATGCATCTAACATTTTTGGGGTTCAATGCAAACAGATACATAACATAATGAGGACGTATCCAGATGCACATGACACACATACATGCAATGGTATTAGAGCTAAATACTGGGCAGTGTGCAAGTGAGGACAATGAGCCCCGAAGGCGGATGGACATAAGGCGGTGTGCTAACGAGGACGCTGGGTCTCAAAGGTGGGTGGATTGTGAGATTCCACGTCGATTGGAGAGGGGAATGAGTGTCAACGACGATGCTGGGCCTCGAAAGTGGGTGAATTGTGAGATCCCACATTGATTGGAGAGAGAAGTGAGTGTCAGCGAGAACGCTGGGCCCGGAAGGTAGGTGGATTGTGAGATCCCACATCGATTGGAGAGAAGAACGAGTGCCAGTGAGGAAGCTGGGCCCGGAAGGTGGGTGGATTGTGAGATCCCACATTGATTGGAAAGAGAAATGAGTGTCAGCGACGATGCTGGGACTCGTAGGTAGGTGGATTATGAGATCCCACATCGATTGGAGAGGGGAATGAGTGTCAGTAAGAACGCTGGGCCCGGGAGGTAGGTAAGTGGATTGTGAGGTCCCATATCGATTAGAGAGGGGAACGAGTGCCAGCGAGGAAGCTGGGTCCAGAAGGTGGGTGGATAGTGAGATCCCAGATCGATTGAAAAGAGGAACAAGTGTCAGTGAGGACACTGTGCCCCGAAGGTGGGTGGATTGTGAGATCCCGCATCGATTGGAAAGAGGAACGAGTGCTAGCGAGAACGCTGAACCTCGAAAGGGGGGTGGATGTGAGATCCCACATCGTTTGGGGAGGATAACGAAACATTTCATACAAAGGTGTGGAAACCTCCCCCTGACAGACACGTTTTAAAAACCTTGAGGGGAAACCCGAAAGGGCAAACCCAAAGAGAACAACATCCACTAGCGGTAGATTTAGGCTGTTACAAGAAAACTCAAAACTCCAATTTTTAGCTCGACTTTCTATTTCTAATCGAATTACGAAGTCCTAGTTTAACAGGTCAATCAATCAGCAGCTTCCAACATGAACAGAAATTTCAATCAAATCAAATAATAAGCTCTTAATATATAAGAAAGTTAGAATGCACTAACCATCCTAGAAGATTAGCTATCATGAACTCCTAAATATATGATGGCTGCCTAAAACTTCAGGGATTCCCAGTGCATCCACAACCGAACAGTCCCTCCCAATCTATCCCATTCAGGGTCCAACGTCCTTCCTGGCACACCGCCTTGTGTCCACCCCCTTCAGAGCTCAACCTCCTCACTGGCATATCGCCGAGTGCCTAGCTCTAATACCATTTGTAACTGTCCGCCGCTAGAAGATATTATCCTCTATGGGTTTTCCCTTTCGGGTTTCCCCTCAAGGTTTTTAAAACGCATCTGCTAGGGAGAGGCTTCCACACCCTTATAAATATAAGAATGTTTCGTTCTCCTCCCTAACCGATGTGGGATCTCACAATCCACCCTTTTCAGGGCCCAACGCCCTCGCTGGCACCCATTCCCTCGATGTGGGACTCCCCAATCCACCCCCTTCAGAGCCTAGCGTCCTTCCTGGCACACCACCACATGTCCACCTCCTTTCAGGGCTCAACCTCCTCGCTGGTACATCGCCCAATGTCTAGCTTTGGTACCATTTGTAACGGCCCAAGCCTACCGCTAACAAATATCATCCTCTTTAGACTTTCACTTCCGGACTTCCCTTCAAGGTTTATAAAACACATATACTAGGGAGAGGTTTCCACACTCTTATAAACACATTAACCCTACCACGGAATGAAAACCAGCTAAGGGAAAGGGTTAGGGTTTGCAGCAGAAACAGAGTCGCGTAGAAGACATTGTATAGCTTGAGAAAGCTCTTGGTCTGTAACCATTTTAACTTCTTCTAGTGTTAACCGAAATTAACGGTCCCTCTCTCTCTCTGTCCCCGTCTCTGTTCTTTCTCTCTCTTTCTGTGTGAGTAGAACGACAAGATGACAAGGCGGTCCATTAGTGAAGAAAATTTTAAGTAACCGCAAGGTGGGTGTGGAGGTGAGGTAACAGACTAATCGATTTTTGCCACGTTGATTATGTCCCCCTCCCCTCTCTGTTGTTGTTTGTTTTTTTTTTTTTTTTTAATGAGGATTTAGCGGTCTTTAAGGTTTGAATTTCCTAATATTTTTATTAGTGATTTTTAAATGTATTATACAAGCTCTCATGGCTTTGTTTTGAGTTTTACAAAAGGTCTCATTTCAATAGAGAAAATATTTTTTGATTATAAACTCATGATCATTCTCTAAATTAGCCGACGTGAGACTTTCATCCACTAACATCTCCCCTCGAACAAAGTACGTCTCCCCTAATTGAGGCTCGACTCCTTTTCTTTTGCAATCTTAATCATTTTTTACTATGCCTTCAAGGAGCCTTGTCTCCTTTTCTGTTGGAGTTCTTTATTCGACATTTAAGGATTCTATTGACATGACTAAGTTTAGGGCATAGCTTTAATACCATGTTAGACGAACACAACTCTCCACAATGGTAACCTAACCCAAAAAAATTAGAAGTTCGGTTAGGTTAATTATTATAAAGATTGTTTGTGTTGCCCGAACAATTTGATTAAGTCTAAAATACTTCCAACACGACTCACCAGCATGGCTACTATTTGATAAAAAATTAATTTTTATTCTTACCCATACAAATCAAATGACAAATTCTCACCATCGTGAATTCACAATTCATTCGAGATTAATATCGAGCCATACGTAATTATTTTTTAAATAGTAATATTCTAGATTAATTAATTTATAAAAAGAGATTAAATATTTTACCGTACAATCTTATACAAACTTACTGTATAAAATATATTTACTCACGTGTCTTCACATGAACGATTTGAATAAAACTATAACAAAATACATCACATCACATCAGTATCAATAGTGTTATATACCCAATCTATACACAGAATCTTTGGGCAATTATTCGATTATGATCCTCCTATATGTCAATTACGTGTTGTTTACGTTTACCATAATAGCCTTGAATTCACAACCTATACGAGAGTTCTTCTTCGCATTAGCTAATTAAGAGGAAGCGCTCGAACGGTAAACCAAGCCTCAGCTTCGGAGCCATTTTACATGCGGAACCTAAAGGGAACGAAAATTGGGCCATCGGCCCATGAACCCGCCTCACATTCAGCCCACCAGAAGCCCATTCCCAAAAAGATCTAATGAAGCCCACGGCATCACTAGATTCTGTTAGCCCAACACTGTATGATAGGCCCAAGCGCGTGGGAAAAGCCAGGTCCGCGAAGCGGTCACATTCCACAGCACGTGCCTAAGTTGTCCCAACGCGTGCAATCCGACTCGAGCTGGCTTCAATGGCTCGACCATGTTGTCGGCTCGCAAATAGCAATGCTACTCATTTGTTCCATGAATTCAAAGCCGAACCGAGTCAGTTCAAGTTCAGAAAAATGAACCCAAATCAACTCAAAAAGCTAATCCAACCTAACTTTTATAGTTCGAGTTGGATTAGTCCGAGTTGTCGGATTGAATGTATACCCCTAGCTACCAGAGATGTGCACTAGGATGGAAGTAGAGATTCTCGACCGAAAATTAGTGGAGATTGAATTTACCATGAATAATTTTTGTCATTAATTATTGTTTTTTAAAATATATTTATTTAAAAGTTTTTATTTTTCAATATAATTTTTAATAAAAAAATTACTAATAAAATCATAACAAAGTTTTAGTTTAAATATTAAAATTAAGATCTCAAAATTAACAATTTTTTTAAGCATATATATATATTAAGTGAGGTGGGGACGAGAAATATAAACTCATCTCTGAACTCATTTATTTAATAGAAAAAATATTATCCACTCCCTGTCTCATTCCTGATCTAAATGGGGAATTCCCTTCTCATTCGAGGGGGTCGATTTTCTAAATAAATAGAATATCGTAGGTCTAGATCACGTGAAACGTGCGAACGTTTGACTAAGACAAGCTTAGAAGCAACAATTTGAGCTTGAAACAATAAATGAACTCGTTGTTTGAATGCCTACGAACTAGTTGGATAAAACTGTTGTGATGTGATTTTGACCGACTTAATGGACGTCGGTCCATAGGCTACCAGACTATTACTCTAATAACAAGAAGTTAAAATCTCGAGTTTCGGTCGAGTATCAATTATGAAATTTCTACTCATATTTTGATAGGAAAGCACATGCCATAAAAGCATCATAATAATTACCAAATAATAATAATAATTATAATTTATAAATTATCAAATATTTTAGAAAATATGATTTGTGGGGGAAAATTACTAACCTCGTGATGTGTCATTGTCACACGTGTCAAAGAATCATTTGTCAAAAAAATTATTGTAAGTTTCATTCTTGCTTTAAACATTCACGTTGTTTTTTTCTTAATATATATTTAGAATAAAATTTATAAAATTATCTTATAAATATATATTTTTCATTTTTTTTTAATTATTTTTCATTCTCTTAAGTTAACCATATTCATTTAAAATTTTAAAATTTGGTTTTTTTTTTTTTTAATTTAAAATGTTTTTTAAACTAAATATCAAAATAAATAAAAAAATGTTAGAAGGGTAACAAAACATTTCTTAAAAGGTTATGTAAACCTCACCCTAGAAGAAGCGTTTAAAACCGTGAGGCTGATGACGATACATAATAAGCCAAAATGGACAATATCTGTTAATGGTAATAGCGGTGGACTTACGCTATTACAAATAATTCCGAAACTAGATATCGGGCAGTGTGTCAGCGAGAACGTCGGTCCCCAAGAGGGATAAATGGTTTGAACGATTACAAATTGTATTAAAGGCAGACATTAGGCGCTGTGTCAATGAGGACGCTGGACTCCGAAGAGGGGTAAATGGTAAGATCGTGTTCATTAAATATGTTAATTAATTTGAGATAACAAGTACCGAAGAAAATAAGCTAAAATAGTAACGTGACAAACATTAACTACATGTCTAGATTTTTTTTTTCTAGAAGTTAAACAATCACCCGTCATTGTCTCAAAATAACGAAACACGTAATGGGAAATGCAAAAGTCACAATTCACTCGTAGACCTAAAACTTTAAATTAAGATTCACACATGTTTTAATATACATAGGTGTTCACAAAATAAGTCATATTTATAGCTTTGAATCGAAAAGTTGGTATTCTAATTGTTAAAAGCGAGTAAATTTAAATATGGTTCGGTAGATAATATATCATTATCAAAGTCCATAAAAAACAGATAGGAAAATATTTAGAAACTCTATATCGGATATGAACGAAGTTAAAATAGATATTATTTATATTATTTCGGGTTGAAATTTATTAAATTAGAATAAAGTGTGTTGGAATTATACTTGGAAATAGAAATAGAAACATATGAACTAGATGAATAGCAATGTGGTTGAATTTATGATTCAATCAATTTTCTTGTGACCAATGAACACAAATCTTATTAAATAAAGCAGCTCGATAAGACCCTATACCCAAAGCTAACATCATATAACCCAATTGAGACATCGTAGAATAGGTTAAAATAGCTCCAAATAGTACTGTTATTATACCTATAAAAGCTATTAGATTCATGATGTAAGATATTACTATAAAAAGCGAAAGAAGCCGAGTGATAAGAAAAATTTCCGCTGCTACCATCGTAGCAGCATGTATAAGAGCCGAAATCGGGGTAGGACCCTCCATAGCATCAGGTAACCATACATGAAGAGGAAATTGAGCAAATTTAGCAACTGTACCTGCAAATAATAGGACGGCGCACAAAGTAACAAATAATAAATTAACCTCATTATTATAAATCAAGTTATTGAATATTTTAAATAAATCCCGAAATTCAAAACTCAGTTGTTGTCCAATAAAGACCTAAAATCCCTAATAATAAACCAAAATCCCCCACGCGATTAGTTACAAATGCCTTTTGACAAGCATTTGGTCGAGTGAACCAAAAACCTAATAATAGATAATAACACATTCCAACCAATTCCCAAAAAATATAAAAATAAATATGTATGTATATGTGTATGTGTATCTATATGTATATGTATGTATGTATACATGTATATATGTATGTATGTATATGTGTATGTATATGTGTATGTGTATATATGTGTATATATGTGTATATATATGTATGTACATGTGTATATATGTATGTATATGTATATGTGTATATATATGTATATGTATGTATGTATATGTGTATATATGTATGTATATGTGTATATATATATGTATATGTATGGATGTATATGTATGTATATATATGTATGTATGTATATGTGTATATATGTATGTATGTATATGTGTGCATATACATACATTTACATATACATATATATGTATATACACATAGTATATATACACATATACATATATACACACACATATATATGTATGTATGTATATGTGTATGTATGTATATATATATATGTGCATATATACATATATATATATATATGTATGTATGTATATGTATGTACAAGTATATGTGTATAAAAATACATATAAAAATATATATATATATTAAACTAATAAAAATATCCATTTATTTAAAAAATATTTTTATGCTTTTAAAATTTTTAATAATATATTTAAACTAAAAAAAAATTAAAAATAGTTTTCCAGTTAATTTGAATAAAAAAATATATTTTTAATACTATGAATTTAAAATTTATTTTTTAAAAAATTTAAGAATACTAATATTATTTTTTTTTTTTTGAAAGTTGACAGGATAAATAATAAATTTTTAAAAAATTTAAAAATATTTTTGATGTTTTTAAGGAAGATTATAAGATGATTAATTAAAATTTTAAAATTTCAAAAATATTTTTTAAAATCAATACTAATGGCTTTCTTTCTAAATTAACTATAATATTTTTTAAAATTATTTTCAAAAGTTTAAAATTATAAAAACCTTTCTATACATATATTATCCAATAATTTCTCCAATATAATTTTTATTCAAAATTCAAAATATCTTAATATATCATATAATATTTCAAAACAAATGTTCCTTTTAACAAAAATTTAAAATTTAATATTGTAACAAATCTCTCACATTACAATATATATATATATATATATATATATATATATATATATATATCTGTGGATGTGTATAAAAGTTGTAATTTCACAAAGAAAATCAAGAAAAATTGGCGCCATGGAAGGTGAACTCAAGAGCTTCATCAAGGTCTTCATCTCAATAATGGCGTCCCTCTTATACTCTTACTTCATAGCTTCAAAGCTTCCCAAAGGCAAATTCAGGTTCTTCTCTCTCCTCCCAATTTTCTCTCTCTTCGCCGTCCTTCCCCTCTCTCTCTCCACCGTCTTCCTCACCGGAACCGTCACCTTCTTCATCACTTGGCTCACAACCTACAAACTCCTCCTCTTTTCCTTCAATTTAGGCCCTCTTGTTTCCGACCCACCATTGAAATTCCCCTTATTTGCCTTGATTGCTTGCCTCCCAATCAAAATCAAGCCAAAAAAAACCGACCCAGATTACAAAAATCTCAAAAAAATTCCAAATCCCAAGTTGCCACTTAATTTACCCTCCAAAATAGTTATTTTCGCCGGATTTATCGCCGCCGCCGACCTCGTTGACCGGCTCCGGCCAAATGTGAAGCTCTGCGTCTACTCGGCGCTGTTGTATATCTTCGTCGACATTCTTCTTGGTGTACCGAGTGTTTTCGTTCGATTGACATTTGGTGGCGTCGAGCTCGAACCGGGGTCGAACGAGCCGTACTTGATGACATCGCTCCAAGATTTTTGGGGGAGAAGATGGAATTTATTGGTGTCGAATTCTCTCCGATATAGCGTTTACAAGCCGGTCCGAGCAGCCATGGAGGGTCTAATCGGGCCGACATGGGCGGCGGGAGTGGCGGTGATGGCGGTGTTTGTGGTGTCCGGAGTGATGCATGAGCAAATGGTGTGTTACCTTACTAGAGAGTTTCCCACTTGGGAAATCACGTGGTTTTTTGTTGTTCAAGGTGTGTGTGTGGTGGTGGAATCCAGGTTGAAGGCCGCCGTGGGGCGACGGTGGCGGCCGCCGTCGGTGGTGGCGGGTCTGTTGACGTTGGCGTTTTTGATGGTCACCGCCGCGTGGTTGTTCTATCCGCCGTTCTTGAAGGCCGGTACTTTTGCAAGTCTTCTTAGAGAATTGAAGATGGTGGGAAAGTTCCTATTGGAAACATTTAAAAATTAATGAAATATCTAAAATTAGTGATTAAAAATAAAAACTTTATTTTAATTTTGTATTAGCATTATATATTTGAGTCGTGGTTTATGTCGTTTGTTGTTCGGGATATCCTTAATAGCTATTTTACATTAAAAAAATTTATCTTATATATCAACTTGAGTATAATTCAACTGATTAAATAATATATTATCAGTCAAAAATTCGAATCTTATTTTGTTTCAAGCATACTCTCTACTAATTGGGGCCCTCCCTTCACCACCTCCCTGGGGATGGTCTACAGGGTTCATAACTACTCCTCTTACTACACGACGCTTACCTAGCCAACATTTAGATTCGGCTCTACCCAAACTTTTCTGGTTTACCCCAGCATTCCCCACTTGTCCGACTGTTGCTGAGCAATTTTTGGATATCAAACGGACCTCCCCAGAAGGTAATTTTAACGTGACCGATTTTCCCTCTTTTGCAATCAGTTTCGAGACGTCAAATCATCTCTCTTGAGACATCTCATTGTTTGAAATTATGGGTTTTTTTTTTTCATAAAGATAGTTTGGTTAAATTTTTTTATTAGAAATCTATTAATAACATGTGTTAAACAATTAATTTTATATAATTATTTGTGGTTAATTAGTTTATTTTTATTAAGTTAAACTATTAAAAATAATTTTAATTATTTATTTATTAATTAGTATATTAAGAATAAAATACTTTAAATTTTATGTTTTTTTAGGTCCAACCTAATGGGATGTTAATGCTTTTGCCCCTTCTAATGGGCATATGAATCAAAGCCCAAAGTTCATTTCTTAAGGCCCAATAATAACATTTGACAGGAAAATTTGATAGTCCAAAGCCCAATACTATTGGGCCATGAGGCCCATATAATCCACATTTTAGAGAGATTAAAGGGATGTAGATATTTAAAATATTATAAATATACATACCAAATAAAATCTAAATAAAATTAACTCTAAAAATAATCCAAACTTAAAAATATGTTAAAGTTTTTTAACCTACATGATCTACGCCCGATTGACTACCTACATGATTTACGCCTTCTCATAGGACGAATCCACCATCTAGGATAATCCAACTGAAGTATCAAGTCTCACTTCCCTGATCGGTCCAATGCATAGCACAATGGTACTATACCAGAGTGTAAACTCTGTTGGATGATGAAAGTCTCACACCGGCTAACTTAGGGAATGATCATGAGTTTATAAACAAAGAAAATTCTCTCCATTGGTATGTGACCTTTTAGGGAAGCCTAAAACAAAGCCATGAGAGTTTATGTTGGACAATATCATACTATTGTGGAGAGTTGTGTTCATCTAACATGGTATCAGAGTCATGTTCTAAACTTAGTCGTGCCAATAGATTGGTGAATTGAACAAAGGACTCCAAAAGAAAAGGAATCGAACCTCCTCGATTAAGGGGATGCGTACTTTGTTCGAAGAGAGGTGTTGGATGATGAAAGTCCCACATCGGCTAATTTAGGGACTCTCTTGGATGATGAAAGTCCCACATCGGCTAATTTAGGGACTCTCTCCATTGTTGGAAAAGCCCAAACATAAGCTCTCATCAACAAAGCCATGAGAGCTTATGTTGGACAATATCATACCATTGTGGAGAGTTGTGTTAATCTAACATGATATCAGAGTCATGTTCTAAACTTAGTCGTGCCAATAGATTGGTAAATCGAATGTTAATCTAACATGATATCAGAGTCATGTTCTAAACTTAGTCGTGCCAATAGATTGGTAAATCGAACAAAGGACTCCAAAAGAAAAGGAGTCGAGTCTCCTCGATTAAGGGGAGGCGTACTTTGTTCGAAGAGAGGTGTTGGATGATGAAAGTCCAACATCGGCTAATTTAGGGACTCTCTTGGATGATGAAAGTCCCACATCGGCTAATTTATGGACTCTCTTGGATGATGAAAGTCCCACATCGGCTAATTTAGGGACTCTCTCCATTCTTGGAAAAGCCCAAACATAAGCTCTCATCAACAAAGCCATGAGAGCTTATGTTGGACAATATCATACCATTGTGGAGAGTTGTGTTAATCTAACATGATATCAGAGTCATGTTCTAAACTTAGTCGTGCCAATAGATTGGTAAATCGAACAAAGGACTCCAAAAGAAAAGGAGTCGAGTCTCCTCGATTAAGGGGAGGCGTACTTTGTTCGAAGAGAGGTGTTGGATGATGAAAGTCCAACATCGGCTAATTTAGGGACTCTCTTGGATGATGAAAGTCCCACATCGGCTAATTTATGGACTCTCTTGGATGATGAAAGTCCCACATCGGCTAATTTAGGGACTCTCTCCATTCTTGGAAAAGCCCAAACATAAGCTCTCATCAACAAAGCCATGAGAGCTTATGTTGGACAATATCATACCATTGTGGAGAGTTGTGTTAATCTAACATGATATCAGAGTCATGTTCTAAACTTAGTCGTGCCAATAGATTGGTAAATCGAATAAAGAACTCCAAAAGAAAAGGAGTCGAGCCTCCTCGATTAAGGGGAGACGTAGTTTGTTCGAAGAGAGGTGTTGAATGATGAAAGTCCCACATCCGCTAATTTAGGGACTCTCTTGGATGATGAAAGTCTCACATCGGCTAATTTAGGGACTCTCTCCATTCTTGGAAAAGCCCAAACATAAGCTCTCATCAACAAAGCCATGAGAGCTTATGTTGGACAATATCATACCATTGTGGAGAGTTGTGTTTATCTAACATGGTATCAGAGTCATGTTCTAAACTTAATCGTGCCAATAGATTGGTGAATCGAACAAAGGACTCCAAAAGAAAAGGAATCGAACCTCCTCGATTAAGGGGAGGCGTACTTTGTTCGAAGAGAGGTGTTGCACATCGGCTAATTTAGGGACTCTCTCCATGTTGGAAAAGCCCAAACAAAGCCATGAGAGCTTATGCTCAAAGTGGACAATATCATACCATTGTGGAGAGGTGTTCATCTTATCGTACCACTGTACCGGTTGCTAATAGCCTAAAAAACTACCTTTGTCTTTCAAAATTGTCTGTGATCTTTTAAGTCTCAAGGATAGTTTTTACGATAATTACATACATGTTGAGCTGGGAGCGTTACACGTAAAGCTCTAAATCACCAATTTTTACCTACAATAAATTCCAAATAAATGAAATCAAACAACTTAGAGTAAATGGGCAAACATACAAGAAACGGATGTGTCTAGATAACTTAACTTTTTTGGGTATCAACACAATCAAATCTTAAAAGAAGATGAGAGTTGAGATTTGTATGTCTCATCAATAATGTATTATTATTTAATATTATTTATTTATCTTTAATGGTAATATAATAATTATACCATCTATTTTATAATTATTATGAATTATTTGATTCAAATCCTTCGTGAACACAACAATTTTAAAACCGCGTCTACTAGATAAATTTCCACACATTTATAAAAAAAAAAATTAATTTTCTAACACGGGGTTTCACTCAAACATCAACTAAACTAAAAAGACTCGACCAGAATTGTAGTAGTTTTCGATTTTAAATGATACATTAAAGATGTTTATAAGGTGGAAACGAGAAATTCTCAATTTATTTTTGTAAAGAATTTCCGGTGTTAATTTTTATTTTACAATATAATTTCTGTTATAAATTATAAATTCTGTCATAATTTCTTTGTTTCAGCTGTTATTTGAGTGATTGGAAAGACGCTGGAATCGTTATTCCAAACTTACACTATTAAAATATTCACCGTAAAAAAACCCACAAAATAATTTCTAAAAACTCAAATTTCAATACTACAGCGTAATATTTCATATTAAAAAATCATTTATTTACGAAACGAGTAAAATAATAATAATAATATATATATATAACGAAATAGAATGAAGTGAGAATTTGGGAAAATAAGGGGAACATAATCTTCATCCCGAGTCTCATTTAGCTAACCCTAAACCTCTAATATGGGTAGCGAACTCATAAGCTTCATGAAGGTGTTACTCATATCCATGGTCTCTCTATTGTATTGCTATTTCATAGCTCAAAAACTTTCCAAAGGCAAATTCAGGCTCATTTCATTCCTCCCCGTCTTCTCCCTCTTCCTCGTTCTCCCTCTCTACGTCTCGTCCGCCTTTCTCTCGAGCAACATTTCCTTCTTCGTCACCTGGCTCACGACCTTTAAGCTCATTCTATTCTCATTCAATTTAGGTCCTTTAGCTTTCGACCCGAAATTATCGCTCAGTTTGTTTGTTTCTATTGCGTTCTTACCAACCAGAATCAAGCATAACAAAACAGCCAAATACGTTCAAAATCATGACGATCTCGGCAACGAACCACGCCCTAAGCTGCCTCTAAGTTTGCCTGCCAAGGTGGTGATATTTGCTATGTTGGTCATGGGTGGGAGGCACTTAGAAATTGGGGGTCCCATTGCAAAATTGTACTTGAATTGTGCAACGTTGTATTTCTATTTAGACATGATTATGAGTCTTTCTAATGTATTTGTTCGATCGAGATTTGGTGTCGAGGTTAGACGACCGTTCGACGAGCCATATCTTGCGACGTCACTTCAAAATTTTTGGGGACGGAGATGGAATCAATCTGTGTCGGAAACTTTGCATACTGCTGTTTATCAACCCGTTCGTTATGAAATCGGAGTTCCGCGGTGGATGGCGGTGGTCGTAGTGTTTGTGGTGTCCGGGTTGATGCATGAGCTTTTGCTTTACTATATCATTAGAGCGATTCCAACGTGGGAAATTACATGGTTCTTTGTTGCTCATGGACTGTGTGTGGCTGTGGAGATTGAGCTGAAGAGGGCTTTGGGGAAAAGGTGGCGGATTCATTGGGCGGTGTCCCGACCACTCACGATAGCGTTTTTAGTAGCCACCATTCATTGGTTGTTTTTTCCACCGCTGTTGAGGATAAAACACTCCCCAAGTGGCTAGGTCACCTGTCGTGTGTCGTGTGCCAAAGTT